ATAAAACATCACAGTGACAATAACAGACTTTATTTACCCTGTGCAGCTTGAAGAAACGTTCGATCTCCTCACTTTCTCCTCCAACACAGCTGACCAGGAGGTGACGAAGCTGGTCTACTGGCCGCAGTTTCTGAAAGATGTGACTTCCCTAAAGGACAACCATAAGTCTGAGACTCTTTCTATGTCATAACAAATATTAAATTAAGCAACACGATGAGGTATGACTTTAACCTTTGCAGACAGGAGGACAAACTTCTGTGGAGGGATATTATGCTGCTGAACGACCACAGGCGGATCAGTGATGGGGATCTGCTCCTTGTTCAAAGGAGTAAAAATCTTAGGAGGCCTCTCTTCGTTTAAGGCACAAAGAGCCCAGGAGTGTCCATCAACATTAGACATCATCTGCAACAAGACACACAAAAAATGAGGCATATTGTAACAGATTTCAGTTTGTTTCTGAAACCCAGAAAACAAACTGACAAAACGGTCCATTATACTCCATCTGAAGCTGAAGAGTCGACACGCGGTCACGTGACTGTTCGACGTTTGTTTTCGCACAAACCTTTTATAGCCTGACACACACTGTGCAGAGCTCCAGGGAAACCCCTGCCACTGTGGTACAAATAACGTCAGCGTTTTTCTTTTCTAATTTGAAGTTGGACAGACTTTAATCCAGAGGGAAAAAAAAGTTATTTTTCCACAAATCTGTGGCGGTTAAAGCTCCACACTTTTCTGCAGACAGATTCCTCTATGCAAAATGTCTGCGTTATCTCCCTCCTTGAGTTGTTGCCCATTTAACTATATTTATAAATATCTGATACAACAGCCGGCTTCTAGAAGTGAATAGATTTTTATATATACTGTATATTTTGGAAGCAAGTAGTTATAGCAAAAAACATTTAAATGTAAAAAATACGCCCACAAACTTCTGACCAATAACACAGTATGTTCTTACGCAGATGGGGTGAAAAGTTCAACCGGCAAGTTGTGACAAAAAGGGGTGAAAGACTGAAAACTGCAAACAAAGTGACATAATTTTCATCATAAAAAGGTAACAATGAGAGCTGATTTTGACGATTCGGATGGAGCATGTAGAGGCCTTTACACATTTGTTTAGTTCTGTGTGCAGACCTGTGTCTCCATCAGAGGTTTCTTAAAGGGGAAGGAGTCGTGATTGATGCACCACAGAATGTCGCTGTCTTCTGTCTCGGAAGCAGCCATGAGCAGAACACCTGGAAGGTTTAAAAACATGTTAGAATAAAAGACATGTTCCCAAACACAAACAGTTTAGTTTAGACTTCCACTGGGTCTTTTACCTTTGCTGTGCAGAGCTTTGTGGACCTTGGAGGGTTTCTGCAAGGTGGAAGATGCAGAAAACCCTGGTGGCAGACGAACGTGGACTAAAGCAAGCAAGCTAGGGCGGAGTGCAATGTGCTTCTGATGCTGAGGAGCAAAAGGCGTGGTGGTGAAGTAGAAACGCACGCCTGCGAAAAGACTCCCCGTCAGATGATGCAAACAATGCATTTCACACACTATTATTTCTGTTAGGCCTCCTAATCTTTACCTGCATGAGTGACAGCGAGCAGATGGCAATCAGAGGACTCTGATCTGTCTATGACAGAGATCTGGACAATGGGTTTGAAAACAGAACGATCGATTGTCCTAAAAAAAGGTTTGAAGAAAAAAAAAAAGTCAGAAGGCAAGAGCAAGAAGAGTTCATTACCTATATGAAACACAGACGGACCTGGCGATGTTTCCTGCAGCTGCTACTATAGAACTCTGTGACATTGTTGCCACACGACTCATGCCTTGACCATCAGCTCCCAGATCATACACCTGAACATTAAACAAATGAACGCTTCAGCTCCTGAGGATCTTTACCAGCATCAGTTACCTTGTTAATCAGATACACGTTTTACCTGTAAGACGTCTTTCTCAGAGCGTGTAAAGAGTGTGTTTCGAGTATTATCAATAGCAATCTGCACAATGGGATCTGTGGAGAACAAAGGCGCCAAAAATGTTCAGGAGTTTAAATCAGATCTGTGGCGTTTCCTCCATCACACAGGTGTGTATTTTCCTCTCACCGTCTTCAGAAAAAGAGAACTGGAGCACAGACGGGATAAGGAAGGACAAGGAGCTTTTGGAGTGGTTGATTTTTCGACAGCGCTGACTGAGCCACCCTGCCTCTGCCTGGTAAGCTATCTCATAGAGACAGCCATCCTTTCCTGCCATGAAGATGCGCCCCAGGTCTGTGGAGGTGATGGACAGGATGTAGGTGTTGTCTGTGGGAATTGAGAACAGGGGGTCTGGTAGCAGCTGCATCCCACCGGACAGGCTGTCGTTCAGTCCTAGAACACAAGACAGAAATAAACGTTCTTAACTCATCTCAACATCTATATTAATGCTAATAAACGTTGTATACACAGATGTGAAAAGTATTCCTTAATAACATGAACTTATACAGTACATTTAACTCTTAGTGGCATTGCTTAACAGATATCAGCCACTTACTTGGTCTTATTTTAATACATAAATTGCAACATTAAGCTTTTAGTTGCTTCTAGTATTTATTAGTCTCTTGAAACTTAATAACAGGATTCACTACAATGACATAAATTATGTGTTCTACATCATTTTCCAACCATAAGGGGAAAAAATAGCGCCATTTATAATGATAACTCACCATCATGGCCCTTCGGGAAGCTGAGCCCAAGGATCACAACATCCACAGAAGTGGCCAACACCAAGAGGTAGTGAATGTGTGGCTGTAAAATACCTGAGAAGACAAAAAAAAATAAAATAAAAACAACAACAACTTCAATTTATAATATGAAAAGAATAATTATCATAGTTGCATAATTAATAGGTCATACCTTGTTTTGGTTTAACAAGACCCACGGCTAGAATAGTTTCAATTAGGCCATCAAAGTATGCAACATCACCTCTGCGAAGAACACATTGTGAAAGTAAAGACAGCTGTCATGAGGTCAAGTTTACACAAAAGCTCAAATTTGACAAAAACACAAGTTACAAATGACTTCTATGTGTTATAGATAGATTAGATAGATAGATAGATAGATAGATAGATAGATAGATAGATAGATAGATGATAGATAGATAGATAGATAGATAGATAGATAGATAGATAGATAG